ACGAGGGACTATTTGGGCCTGTGCTGAACACTTGGTGTTGACGACATTCCCATCTTCCCTTCTTCTTCGTCTAACCCCACCTCCTTCGTCTGTGTATGGTTGGGGCTGGCGCAGTCTTCTTGTGCGAAGCGCCAGACCCCTTCACACCATGATGATGATGATGTATGTTCGGGGCTGCATTGCAATATTGATTGTTCGGATCATTGGTATCTAAGTCTTCCGCTGTGCTATCTTATACTTTGTATTGAAGGGTCAACGCCAGCTGGCAGCCAAGGCTGCCCAGCTACAGGCTGACGAAGCAGCMGCAGCAGAGAAGCTGCGGCTACAGGCCGAAGCAGACGCAGATACCCAGGCTCGCCGCAAGGAAGCCCAGGATATGCTGCAGCGGCATGAAGCCACCAGCATCAACAAACTCAAGTTCTGGCACTTTCAACCGAACGGCGACAATCCAACACCGGAAGAGAAGCACAAGGAGTTCCTCTCCAAACTCGTGACACGGTTGCTGTATGCTTGCAACTACCAACGGTCAGAGTTGGAGAGACAGTACCAGGACCTGACGCAACAGCATCATGAGTGGCGACGCTCCGCCGCACAGTGCAGAGCCACGAGGATGCAACTCGGGCACTCAATGCCCGATTGCTGGACCTGGAACAGGCTGTACCAAGACCAACTGCTGGGGCTTCCAGCAGTGCACTCTCTAGCCGCCAACTGGAGCAACGCGTTGACCACATCCTGGCAATGCTCGGCGACATTAACACCTTCGCTGCGCCGTCCACCATCAGCACTCAGCTGCATACCTTGAAGACCGAGGTCCAACAGCTGCAGTCGATGAACGCAGATGGCAATCAGAAGATGCCAAAGTTCGACGACTACACGCAGCAGAATCCGACCCTCTCCTGGGAGGCATTCACGACGCAACTCAGGATTCTGCCTGTCGCTAAGCACAAGTACATCGGCGCCCTGTTCCTAAACTCAAAGGGCGGATGCCAGACCTGGTTGACCCACCTGGCAACCTCCCACGGCGTCGACGTACCGGACCTCGAGGACAAGATCACATGGGAAGAACTGACGCGGCTGTGGAAGAAGCGGTTCATCGTCGACGACGCGCCAGCACTTGCCATCAACCGACTGTTCGCCATGTCACAGGGCAACACAGCAACACGGGACTGGCTCACGGAGTGGCAGAAGATTGCGGCTGTGCCCAATCTGAACTTACCATTCGAGCATTTACGCCGTGAGTTCTACAACAGGTCCTATGCTGCATTGAGCCAGGTTCTTGGTGATCGTGAGCAGTACTCAACCTTTGCTGAAATTATTGACAAAGCAAGGGAGATCATCAAGACCAACAGGTCAGCTGCACACGAGAAATCAACATCATGGCAGCCGACCTATGTGGAGAAGGTACGAACTGGTCCGCGACAGCAGCACTTCGCTGCAGTCCAGCAGGACAGTGGAGATAACCCAGCAGCCACTCCAGCATCAAGTGACGGAGATCAGGTGGCTGCTGTCCAGCCGCAATGCACCAACAAGTCCCACAACAATGGGAAGGCCAAATCCGCATCGCAGGCCGGAAATGGACAGCCAGGACAGTTTCCATGGGTCAAGTTTGGCTTGACCGAGGCGGAGTACAAGGTCCGCGGCCGCTACGGCAGCTGCTATTGCTGCAACAGCACCAAGCACAAGACCTCCCTGTGCCAAGATCAGGGCAAGGAGGATGTGCGACCCCGCCTCAGCTCGGGAAACTGAGCTCCGCGGAAGGTGAGGCGACTCCACCTTCTACTC